GTAAATTTGGATACGAGTTGGGATTATTATTATGTATAAGATTTTGTAAAAAGTTTGGTGAAAAACGATCGGAAAAATATCTCAAACGAATATCGTTCACGATAGCCGCACCAAGGGTGCGACCGGGTTGGGYCGTGCGTCGAGTTGAGTCGGCCGACACTAGACCAGGTTTAGGCCATGGCCGACTTATTTCGGTCGAGCTCGGTTAGACTCGAGTTGTTAACATTTGTTAAAAATAGATTTGGGGCTCGTTTATTTACTTGGATTAATCGAAATAAATCGGGATGTTTCGATTAAGTTGGTCAAGATTTGGACATCAATTATAAAGGTTATTAATTAATTGGATTTTCATATTTAAATTATAAGAAATAATTTAATAACTTATTTCGGGAGTTGTGAGTAGATAATTGTGGGATCGGACGTTTTTATAACGAGAGACGTATATAATTATATGTTGGGTTTAATACGTCGTAATTTATTTTGGATATGAAAAAATTCCATTGGGGAAGAGGGTACATGGCGACGAGGTATGCTTGGGGTTGACCCGTTGACCATGCCCACCCTAAGGTTGACCCATTTGACTTTTGGGTTGACTTTTTGGGAAAATGTCAATACTCTAATTATTGAAATATAATTACATGTTATAGGATATTACTCAGGGACAAGGTTTAGCTAAGTGGAGCTACTCAGGTGAGTTTTCATGAGACTTTAACTGGGATGCATGCTTATGTACAAATTATTTGAGYATTACGATATTTTCTATGTACATGTTTATGGGTTTATTACATGTATATGAATTATTATTGTGGGTTGCATGCTATTTGTTTACGTGTTTTTAAACATTAATTAGCATGTTATAAACGGGTTAATATTTTTGTCGGGTATGGGAAGGGGTCAAAAGTCATAAGGGATGGCACATCTTAGGGAGGGGTAACCGGACAAGGGATAGYCGTGTAACCCGGGGAAGTGCCGATGACGGTAAGACCTTAACCCGACGGGAAATTAAGAGATCTCATTATTACTTCAAAAGGGTTTGAAACAAATGTGCATATTATTTTATTTGGGGCATTGTTTGTTTTATGCATGATGAGGTGTGTATGATTGTGCACAAAAACCATGAAMTCACCRAGCTTTGTAAAGCTGACTATTAGTATGCATCTCAGGTGCAAGAGGTTCAAGGGTGGACAAGAGGGAGGTTCTCTTCTAGATAATTATATTATTATATTTCAGATGTTTAGGTTTATGCTTAAACTCATTTTGTAATGTAACCCGGTATGGGACGGGTTAGCGTTGAGCTATTAATTTTAATTGAATTTGTAAGACTTCCGCTGTAATAAGGCTTTATTAGCCACTATATTTTGGGGTTATTTATTGTTATTTAATGAGAATKACGTGACACAACTCATGGTGAAAATGAGGGTGTTACAAGTTGGTATCAGAGCCTTAGTTTAAGGGAATTAGGTTAGTGATAGCCTAAGCTTAAACTGGGAGGGTATTAAGGGGATCCAAATTGGGTGAACTAGGTTACTATTTGCCTAGACTTGAATTAAGTGATGGGGTAAAAGGGTATATAAGTTTGGTTTTTTTTTATAAAAGAGAAATGGTTTAAGCAAAATAGGATATGTGACAACCCACGCTTGAATCATGGGATTAAAAATATGAATGCAACATAAGATTCATGTTGGAGTAATTTTTTATTATAAAAACTCATGATCGAATTATTGGTGATGTGTTGTATTTTCTTTTTAGAAAATGGGATGAGAATGGATGGTCCATGTAATGTATGGTCAGATAAGGGATTATCTCATGGGCTAGTGAATATTCAAATGACCATAGATTAAGTTAGTTGAGGTGGTGCTCAACATATATGGTTATAGATATGGGAAACTTGAGGTTAGGAAATGAAGCACTTGTAAGGTTGATAGGAAACATTTGACAAACATTTATAACTATAATGGTGCTCTTGGGGAGAGACGTAAATGAGTTAGAAATGAACATGAGGCCAATGTCAGTAAGGGTATAAAAAAAAGGTTATGACTCTTAGAGACAAGATCTGTCAGGATGTTCAATATGATTAAATATAAATGGGGAATTCATTTGATTTGAAAAAGAGACCTACGTGATAGGAAAGAGTCATATACTATATGTGATGGGTATGAGGATGGTGATTAGACCACCCTTCTAATTGGTCATTATAAGAGTGGTATGTGTAATAACTCTTAGACCTTTGGGCGTGAGACTATGGAACGTATAGGAGTTACATAGAGACACAATTGGAGAGTACTATGATGGGGAGCATGGTACTAGAGATATTTGAGGGAATGGTATCATGAATGGCTACAAACTCGTCAGACTGTGTGTTTATGTCCAGATTATATAAGGACTAATTAAACGTTTTATATTTTTCATAAAGGGAAGCAGTGATGAGATGAGGGTGAAGAAGATATAATGAGTTAGCAATGGAATAAATCATAATTGATTCTTATGATTACTAATACTTAAAGTAAGTTATATATCTATAAACTTACTAATAAAATTTCAGTATGAATTATGATGATTGATCAAGATAACTCTGAGGATCTAAGGGGACACATATTTAGCAATGTTGTTTAATGCAACGATAGATTACAGTCGAGCCCATGACTGGGGAAAGGTCAATACAAAGGTATTAATGTAGCTTAGCCTGTGTGATTGTTTTGCAGCGACTGGTAGAAGTTGTGGTTGGTCTCATGATGTTGACCAATGTGATACAGCAATATCAAGGGGATGTTAAAAATTTGAAGTTAAGGGAAATCCAATTGTCGGGTAAGTTGGACCACGAAAATGGGTAATGGTTCCAAAAGCGACATGGAGCACAATATGATATTGGAAGGGGCTAGGGAGACTCCTAAAATAGGTTTGATACACCCGTATTAACAATGTTTTTACTTAGTAGAGGTGTAAATGGGTGATGTATAAGTTTGGTGATATAATCACTAAGAAACAACATGTTAGACTAAAGCCTAAATGTATCAAATTTTGAGGGAATATCGATAAGAAAGATAAGTGGATGTATTGGGAAATGTAGCATTGAATGATTAGCATGTGTAGTTGATGTCAGTCAATAAAATAAGATGGTGTATGATGTACCCATGGTGTGGGCGAGTATTAAGGTGGTTAGAGATAATGTATCGAAAGTATCACTAGGTGTGAGGGTTCCTCAAATTGACCTAGCTCCAGAGGGAACACATAATATGAGGATATTGATCTAATTTTGTCGTGGCAAAGGAGCCAAATTCGATGAAAAGATTACGAGAGTCTTTGATCAAGGATTTTGTTTAGCTAAGTTAACATCTGGATAACATTGACAGGATGAGTTAAGTAAATATGGTATGATGCATGTATGCATCAATAAATTTGATATGTATGAGATCAATTACAGGAGCAAAGGTTTTTCCAAGGACGATGACCTAGTCGATCAACTTCAAACATGCAGGGAAACATGAGCAATACATATGGTTAGTACGAGGGCTTTTGAAAAAAAAAAAGGGAAACCTTGTGTTAGTTCTAAGTATGAAAGTAATTGGTGAAACACAATTTATTGGTCACAAAAGTGGGATTTAGTTGGGTTAAACCAAAAACAAACACAATAATGGATTTGAGAATGCCAAAGATGGGATTACATATGTAAGGCTTATGGTTTTTAGCAAACTAATATAAGTTCCAATAGATATTTCTTAAAATCTACGTTAATGGGAGGTTTAACTAGGAGTCAAATAAGTTTGAATTGGTTAAAGTCAAAAAGGCATTTTAGATGCTAAGGGGGAAGTTAAGCCTCGCACTGATGATGACATTACTAGAAGAAACACAAGTATGGTACATAGTGTTACATGTAAGTTGGGTCAAGATACATTGATGCAATAAGCAACGTTAATGCTTACGCATMGTCCCAGCTAAAATGGAAGGGGAGGAAGTGTCATGTTCTCTAACATAAAGATAGAGGTAGTAGTATTTAAATTCAAGGGTTTGACGAGGACTATGGGTGTCCGGGCACTAAGA